CTGGTATCCTTCTTATCTTTCCTTTTGGTTCAATATCCAACAAATGAACTTCTTTCCTCCTATAGCCTACCAATTTCTGATGCTTAATTTAGTATTAGGTGTATTAGAGACAAGTGGACCAAGATGCTATAAATTATTGAAGCAAACCCATATAATCCATTTTGCAAATAGCCTCCCAGGAGTTCTAGAATGAATCCAACTGTGTCTTTCCTCTATCAGAATATCAAGGACTATTCCAGACTCAAACTTTGAAGTAGAGATCTTGAGCATCTGTCATGCCTCTCTCCCAAACGATACTATTCAAACATTTTAGCTTGTTGACAACACAAACTATTCCCTCTCCCCTGAACCATACTACCTTCCTCATCTCTCTGGCTTTGGTAAATTAATTAGTCTCTCTGGACACACTTATTTTCACATAAATTGATGAAGAGGTTGAACTATGATTCTCTATATGTTCAGTTAACTAGAAATCCCCCCTCTGATTTTTAGAGGCAATTAATATAAAATGTAATGTTCTTGCTTTATTAGCAAACTTGTTTTCCCCACAATATATTCCTTGTATGATGGAGTATTTGAAAAACACACCATTTGTTTTCTTTCTAAGACCTTTGGCTAACATTAGCTCAAACTACTTTTATTTTGCCCTTGAGATAGATTCACTTAAATAATATTTTCCTTTCTAACCTCAACAGCCTGACACAGTATATTACTTTTTGAGTCACTGTCCTCCTTTTCATTTCCAATATTTTCTTAGCTATAAGTTTAAGAGAAGGCTTTTGTAAAGCCACATTGAACTGTGGTAGCTCTTTATTTTCTTTCCTCTGGAAATTGTAAAGTATTGTAGTTCAATTATGAGCCTCTCACTCTCGGCAAGACTTGACTCCTTAAAATGTATTCATTTTCCCTTTTTTTCCCTCTCTCAATTCTAGATTCTCCTTATCTAACACTGTGGCTGTCCAGTTTAAAAGTCCATGTGGTTAATTTCTCTTTATCTAATTCTGATACAGAGAGCTGTAATTTTTCCCCCCCTTATCTGTTGGCTATAAAATCATTAGCAGTAATGCAGATGGTCTGTAGAGGAAGGAGTGAAAGGAAAACCAAAACGGATGGCTCCTGTCATTGTGTCTTTAAAACAAGTGGATGGCTCCACTTGTTTGTGAGAAAACAAAAACATCAGTGTTCACGATTTTTTTAACAATAGAATTAGTTTTATCGTTATTTTAAAGAGTAATGTACACTAAATTTTAATGAAAAGAACAATACTTAAGTGCATATTCTCCGAAAACCAAATTATTCATCCCCTAGAAGATTACAGTCTTATACCAACACATGCAAGACAGATGACTAAGGACATTTTATGGTTAAACAGGTTCTTATAATGTGTTTTTCTCTTTTCTCTTCAATGCTTATAGGTGATGAAGGTTCACCTTACTATTGGCTTAAATGGGTTGGATAATGGGAGGAAATCCAGTCTTCTAGAAATCTGAAACAAAAAATAGCAGCTGTAGCAGCAGTGATGATAAAGATGAAGCAATAATAATGGTTAGTGTCATTAAGTCCTTGCTGTGTGCTTGGAGCTAGCACTTCATGTGCCTGCTTTACTTTATCCTTACAAAAAACCTAGGGGAAAAGTTTGTGTATATATCCTTATGCACATATTGTGGATAAGAAAACTGAGGTTTGGAGTAGGGGGGTGGTTGTACATTTTTCAAGATCACATAGGCAGTTAGTATTCAAGTTGACATCCTGTCCAAACTCTTATGTCAGAAAACAAACATTTAATCAATCCTCTGTCCAGGAAAGAAAAAAACAAAAGAAACCTCTATCTTAAAAAGACAATGCAGAAAATTAAGATGTGAATCTATATAAGTAACAGGCAAAATTTAGAGAACTTGGTTCTCTTTTCATTCTTTCACGACCCTGGATAATAAGTCAACTAATGTGGTTATTAAAAATACCAAGTTTAATAATATATGAGAGTCTTGATGAAAGGGAATCTTTAGTGCCATTGATCAACTAGGATATACAAACCCTTCTACCAACACAGAGCATTTTCTTGGTACCTCTCTCATGTATTCTTTCTGTGGTCTGCAGAAAACCTTGGCTAAGTTTGCACTTAATGAATTTCTAGTATCTAAAGTCTCTAATTCCCATTCTTGCCATAGACATACTTTTCTCCTCAGTGCCCCAATCCAATTTAGTTTCTATTCTGTTCCTGTAGTCTAAAATAGATGGCAAAGGGAAAATAAAGTAGTAAATAGATGAATCCATTGGAAATGGGATAAAGAAAATGATGACAGTGAGGTCTCAGAGCAAACAGGTAAAGAAAAAATTAAAAGTGGGTTTTTTTTAAAGTAAAGCATTACACAAAATAGATAAAAACAGTTCTGAAAATAGCAAATAATTTTCTTAAAATGCCATACAACCTGGGGACAAGTTAGATCTCAGCATAAGCCACAGAGATTTTAGATTAAAAAATACCTGAGAAATAGGACAGAAAGGAAAATTGACCTCATCTTTCTCAATGGAGATGAGTCTGCTGTAAAGGGCAAAGAGATGATACGCACTCCCTGCAACAGAAGAGTATGGTGTATCACCCCCAGAAAGGACCAGATGGAGGTCTTCAGCCCACGGGCCCACGGCCAGAGCTTGGACAGAACACAGTAGGAGGAAGAATAAAAATCTTAGCCCTGCAAAAACTAGAGAATATCTACATTTAGTATGTAAGTAGAGTCTTCTTAACATTTATGAACAGAAATGCTATTAATTCTAAAGTTAACCATAATACACATGCAAAACCCATTTCTTACGTTAGCCAGCAGTGTCCCTCAAGGAACTTTAGGGTGTGAACATATAACCCCGTTAATGTTGCTTAGGATTCTGGCTTCTGAGAGAGTGATTGCTGCGTAGGATGTGAGGTAGACAGTAAAAGAAATTGGTAAAACATTGATGATGGGATCGGCTCTGAAACAGAGATAACTAATCTGGATTCATATTCTACTTACCAATATCTTCTAAAATAAGTTTGCTTGTTTCTACTTGCAGCTATTAGATAAAGCTATTAAAAAACATGCAGTTTTTAATTATTAGAATCTAGAGAGTGGTACTAGGAGTATTTTTAGAATAAAGATCTCTATTAGTTGGAAATCCTAATAATCTTCTCATGTGAAGACATTTAATGGAAAACAGTATTGTAGTAATGATTCATTTTCTTTCCCCTCTCCTACCTTCACCTCCTGCATTTTCTTCATCAAATGTTTATAACTGATTTTAAAATAACATCTGTTATCTCTTTTCTCCAACTATGAAACTATTCTGAAATAGGATTTGAGGAATATTTTAGAAAATGGAAAATAAATATTTATATAAAGTTATAATTTTGGAGGATTACAAAGGTATTTCATTAAAAGGATTGGTTTATACCAAGGTTGCCCTTTTCCCCTATATTTAGAATAAGGATCTTAATCTTAAACATTACATAAATCGGCGAGGTTTAATTAAAACTTGAAGAAATGTGTTACTGTTAATTGAATTCTTGCTACAGTTACCTTTGCACACTAATGTTAATGAAACTCCAGTTCAAAGTGGATGGGTTTGGGGAATTTAAATAGCTATTTATTTCCTTACCGAGGTACCATAATAATTTCAGTACAATAAAGGACTTAGTTAAGAGAGTTCTTCTGATTTGTAGCTATTGACCAAGTTTACACAAACTCCTAGGGTTTCTAAGCAAATCAAACCAGACGTTCAAGGCCAAAAAATAGCGTTAGTGAGTGAGAAACGCAAATATTTCTTTGAGTAAGGGAAATATTTCTTTGCATTCTAGCCTTTCTTTCACCTGTGGAGCAGAGCGGACTTGCTCCCAGCTGCCCAGAGCTGGGGTCCCCAGACGGCATCCCTTCCCCCACGTGCTGAACCTCCCCAGTGTGGTATTTCTGAGTCTAACCCAGCTATAAATTGCCCTAAAGCTTAGAGACAATCAGGTCAGCGCTTGCACGAGGGAAAAGCTTCTTACTTCCGAGCAGAACCGTTCACGAAAGAGGCAGGAGGGGGATTACCCACGCTTAGGTCGTCGCCGCGCCGACCAGGGCGGGGGGGCACGGGGAGGGGCTGGCAGGAACAGCATCCCCAGCAGCGCCGCGCTGGACCCAAGTCTGCAAACTTAGGTCGCTGCGGGCCCCACTCCCAGTGCCCCCCACGGCTGGCCGCAGGCTGCGGGGTGGAGGCGCGCCCGCCCGCCCCGGGACCGAGCTCCGCCCGCGGCTCGGGCCCCGCGCCCTCCTCGGAGAGACTCGGGCGCCCAGCGAGGCTCAGACCGTTCCGACCGCGCCCCAGTCCCCGGCCCCGGCGGAGCAGCGTGATGAGCCTCCGGCAGCCCCGGGCCACCGCCCTGGGGCTCAGTTCGAGGACCCCGGGTGGAATGCTTTGCTATCCCCGTCCTGCCGCGCTGCCACAACTCCGCCGGGTCAAACGGCCAAAGACAAACTTCTCCCTCTCTTTCCTCGCTCCCACCTTTTCAGAACCCCGCAGCGCACACCCACACGCGCCAACTCCTAGGGCGCTGTTGCGGTCTGGGCATGCTCAGTATCAGGCAGGTTCTGACTGAAAGTGCGAAAAAAAAAAGAAGGAAAGAAAGAAAGAAAGAAAGCTTTGTGTTATGCTGTCTCCTTCTCCTGTGCGTTTGGCTTGCCGGACAGGTTGTGGGGCATCCCTGCGCCCGCCCAGAGGGTTTATCGGATGCCCTTGAGTGCGTCTCCTTGGGATCTGTCCCAGTCTTGGTTTTCCCCTCCCCCAACGCTGCTCCTCAACCCCCACCTCAGGTCCCAGTCCGCTGTGGGAATGGAGAGACACTAACAGGACTGGGATGGGCGCCGTTGGCTGAGCGGATCCACCTATTATTAGTGAGCCCGGATTGGCTCGCTGGTACAGCGTGCCCGGTGGAACCAATCAGGCGGCCGGGGCTGGGAGATGATGGGCGGCCGCCTCCTCACGGGAGGGATTCCTGGAGAAGCTGCAGTGTGGGGATGCTCTAGACCGAGTCCTGCCCCCAGTGTCTCTCCACCGCCTTCTGCAGCGGCGGCAGCGCCCGCACTCCGCGACGGCAACTTGAGGCTGCACCCGGGGCAGCCCCAGGGCGGTGCTCCGCGGAGGGGCTCCGCGCCCCGAAGGGGTGTGTGCAGGGTGGGGGCGGCCAGCTGGGACCAGCTGGTGGCCCTGGAAAACCGCCCACACACCCACGCCCACACACCCCTTTTGTGTTGCAGGCTGCCCCTCCGAGAGCAGCGGCAGCGAGAGGACGCGTGTGCCTCGCACCGTCCGCGCGCGGAGAGCGGCGGGGACGGCGACCGTCTCCACCTCCTGCTCCTCCTTCCAGGTAAGGCAGTGGGACTGGCCCCGCGCGGCCACCTCGGAGGTGCTTATTTGCTTGAATTCGTACACAAGATTTTGTTCGCGGTACACTTGGGTTTTCGTCGTGGGAGACTGAGACCTGGCGAGGGAGCCCCGGGTGGCCTATTGTCAGATATGTAATGAGCCACATGTGCATCTCCTGGAAAAGCACTTTGCACAGCGCCCGTGATTTAGAGCCTGGAGTTGATGATGGGCATCCCCCATCTTCTTGCTTCCTCTTTCCTGCTCTCATTCTCTTTCCTCCTTCCACCACCCCCAATCTCAAGCTCTCACCTCCCCCCGCCCCAATTTCTCTCTCATCTTTGCCCTCCTCCATCCGAAGTATGCACAGGGTTTCTTTTTCCTCCTGGAGAGGATTGCTTTTTCTCAGAGGAAACAGGGAGCTGGTGAAGAAAGGAGAGATTTCTTTCTGCCCCCCGAGGGTGGGGGGAGGGGACCACGATAGAAACAACCTCTGGGAAAATTAGAGTACAGAAAGCAATTAAACTGAATAAAGGGAGTAGTCAAGCTCTCCAGCCCGGGCTGTCAGAGGGGAAAGCGTCAAGTTTGACTGGCTTTTCTCCTTGCAAGAGGCTATGTCTCTCACTTGATTAGTTTAAATGGAACAAAGATAAACCACGGATCCAACCCCCTTTCAACTGCTTAATTGCAGTTCCTTTTAAGTGCCAGCCATCTGACTTTTCCTGTTTCCATCTGGCCTGTGAGGCTGACTATTTAGTATTGCCCATCAGTGGTAATGTCTAAACTTTGAGGGGTTTCTTGAGAGAAGAAAAAATTTTTTAAACAGATGGTTACTGGGGTTCTTGGTATGGCTTTAGCGTTGAGAGGGGAAGCAAAAACTGTAAAGTTTCAAAACATGTGTAAGTGACGCCAGTATTCCCTGGAGGCTTGGATTTCTACTTTGAGAAAGCCAATCTTCTTCTTAGCTTTTTCCACACGTTGATTTTCACTATCTTGAATATCATCAACCCTTTGGTGAGATAAAGCAACCGTACTTTTGTGTTAAAGCTGTTTTTGTGTATGAATTGTCATTTCATTCTACCTTTCTATGTTTGCATTTTATTGCCTGAATATCAAATACCGAATTCATTCCTTGCCTTATTTTCTTGCATTATGACTATTTTAAGTGTAAACATGATGCTTATGCAATTTCAGTACTCCATTTACAAGACACACAGAAGCTCAGGTGGCCAAGAATCATCTTGTACTGGAACAAAGTTTAGAAAGTGATGGTAGGAAGATAGCCTCAAATTTAAAAAATCTTAAAGGGGAAAATATTTTTGCTCTCATGTCTTATTATAAGAGAAAGATATCAAAACAACTGTATGACCTGCTAACGGTCAAGAGAAAGGTACTTGTGGAAAGAGCCTTGACGGCAGCTTCAGCAATTTCTAATTCCATCATCAATGATACAAGCTTTCCTTTCCTGTTATTCATCCGAGACGGCTAAGTGATTACTGTCAGATGGGAGGAGGTGGAGAGAAGTGCCTGGTTGACTGTAATGGGAAAGCATTCCAAGTGGGTTCTACGTGAGCACAGAGAAGTGAGCAGATGTTAGTGTCCAGATAAATCCTTTCCTTTGATTTACCAGGGGAAATGCTATGTCTTACTTTTTTATTTTCCTACATGTCCTCTTGGGATAAGAAAAGGGAATTATCCTCCTCAACTCTGCCTGATCTGCCACACTAATCTATGCACCCTAGAAAGTATTTTTCCACCATTTATCTTTACTGTATAAGTTTATACATGGACTTAGAGAAGAGCAGGTTTCATTTACTATCAATGTAAGGTATATTTTTCTAAACCATTTTCCAGTTCAGGTGCTCATCTCTCCTATCTAAGTAGAGTTACCTTGAGTCACACACAAAAAAAAGATATTCTTTCTAGGGCTTTGACATTTAAATGCATTTTTTTTCTTTTAATGTAGTGTCTTTGTTGAAAGCTAAATCTAATTTTTAAATGTGCCACTTTTTGGTTACAAGGGCAAAAGGACAATTGCTTAATTGCCTCATGTATGTAAAACTGAGCTAACAAGTTTAGACATGAAAAGATCGACAAAAGGAAATTAACTGCCTTCCATGTGAGCACAACAAGATTTTGTGTCATTTCTCCATTGTTTTAAGATAAAAGTTTAGCCTTGGTTTGTGACATTTATTTTCATGACTCTTTACAAATGTTAATTATAGCAATGATATGTAAGATGCATATGAGCCTTTCATTGTTCACATACTCTGAAAAATGAAGCTTATATACTGGAAGTCAGAACTAATTCCAATATACAGTGAGTGGATTGGGGAGAGACTTTAAATGATGTATTACAAAAAATTATTACCCTGTCATCCCACAAAATGTTCTGGTGTAACGATTTCTTATGATCTTCATCTTTTCTCCTTTTAAAAGCATATCTTAGTATACCTTACTAATGTTTCAGAGTAAATATGGTAATTAGGCTTTAACAGATATTTAATTTGTTCAGAGCTAAAGGCAGCTACTATACAAGGGAAGTCCTAAAATCCTAAATCCAAAAAATACCACAGAGAGTTCTTGCAGAAAAGTTTTGAATTTCATTTCATAATGGAGAATATTAGTTATTCTATCTGGTCAAATTATCAACAAATATGAAAGTAGATAACATGGTATTTACATCATAAGATTTGTATATTAGAGTTGGGACTGAAAATAAAACTCAAATATAGAAGTTTGTCTTAATTATATGCAAAATGGACTGGAAGCTTAATACATAAAATACAGAATGTGTTAGAAATCTGAAAGTTTATTTGAACTTTCCATCAGATTAGTGACACCATGGACATAATATCAATTCTTCTCTTGAAGTCAATATATTAAATAAATTTAGAATGGACTGAAAACAAGTTTTTAGAGACATCTAATCTTAAAAAAGTCACATTTAACACAATTATATAAGCCTAAAATACTTAGAGCTCTTAAGATTTCTAGTTTGCGCAACAGACAGGAAGCGATATTGTTAATTCCAAATTGGAACATAATATTTCTTTCCCTAATGGTAGTGATTAAATGATTTGGGGGCGGGAAAGCAAAACGTTTGATTACATTATGGATTAAATTTGGTCTAATATTACAGGAAACTAAGACTACAGTTATTTAGAATACCATAGAATAATTTAGATATGCATCTTGCAAACATTTTGCTAAAAAATAATGCTTTCTAAAATTAAATATCTGATCCATTTATGAATTTTTTAAATTTTAAATGATTTGTTTGTCATAAATACATTTGTATGAAAAGTTTTGTAGGTGATGCTTTTTAACTGAATTTGTTTTCCACTGAAATTGACCAAGGCTATTTAAACAGGGATAAAGTATATGGCAGTCTAAGTAAACAAGTAATTTTAACTAGCATTTAAGGATATCTCTACATAATGTGTGTATAGATATGTGTATATATATATATATATAATTTTTTTAATTATGTAACTTTTTCTAAAAAGGATTAGAGATTAATGGACAGTAGCATATGATTTACTGAAACTAGAGAGTACGCCTATAAAAAGTACGTTTCAGAAAAAGACGACAAAGTCTTGGAGTTGTTTGTAATAGTTCTTTGGCTGAAAGACTGGGAGTGCCCAGAAGCTACATTAATGATGGAAGTCTACCACTTTCCTTTAACAACCTTTCTATGGCTTTGGGAGGAAGTCATTTTTATATGAATCATAGGTTTAAAAACCTCTCAGTGCAAGAAGATGCATTTCTATATACAAGAAACAAGGTAAAATTATATTTTCATATGATTTGTACATAGTGGGATGATAACATTTCTTTCTAAGGCTTTTATTGGGTGTTTATCTTTTATCTTTGAACATTTGTATAAAAGTAAACTTGGTCTTTTAGCATGATTGAATGATGTAATTATCATTGTTTAGGAAAGGGGAGATGGATCTGTATCTTTACTAATTCCTTTATGAATTAATGGTCGATATTTTTTAATAATATTTTTGTAAACTTGATTCATACCTCTCCATCAAATGTGGCCAATTTTTAAAGCACAAATTTGATCTTTCCAATACCCAGAAAACAGCACTTTTTCTTCAGCTTCTCTCTCATTTTAAGAGAGTTCTTGAACAGCCACTTTTATATTGACTCTAAGATAAAGTGTGGTAGCTGGGTGGATAAATATCATTCTCCTCATATGTGTTAGTAATAGGAAAATAAACTTATTTTAAGCTATATCGCAAACATATTCATTCAATCTATTGCAAGTAAGAAAGCATGCCATCCTTTCTTGTATATATGAATAAAACTTTAACCTTTGCTGTTTTATTGAATAAGCAAAAAACTTCTAAAGTGTACAATGAAAAATATTTTTATGCTGTAGATGTAGTCAGCTCTGGAGATGCTATTTCTGTACTTTTAAATAGAATTTTAGACCTCCTATTATAAAGAAGCCTCCTTTTAAATACATGTTTCCTTAATTTAAAAACAATACTTTTAAGAGAATTCTAAATAAATTAAAACTAATTTAGAGTAAAAATAGCACACTTATAATAGTGTTAGAAATGAATTTTCTGTCATTCTTTGAAAAAATGCAAAGATTTCAAGAAACTTTCTGTAATTTGTGAAGTGTTTACGTTTAGTTAAATGACAAATTCCCATTGTTTAGAACTAATTCTGATTCTCTTTGGGTTCGTTTTGTCTCTACACATACACTCAGTGCTTAGAAGACATGCGGCACACTGTTTTCCAGAAGTTACTAGTAATGCATATGAGGGGAGATCAAAGTCCATCTTTTTTGGTTACTGCTGTCATGGAGATACAGGAGGTGCAAAGAAAAAATACTAGCCATTCCTACCTCGGTCTCACAAGTAGTATTTTGAACATGTTAATAGAAACATAGGGAGTCATTTTGTTAAAGAGGAGTCTGGAAAATTGTAAAGCAGATGAAGATAATAAATGAATCTTATTTCTTAGCTGTTGGTACAAATGGGA